AGCCCTGAGCAGCCCAGACGTCACCCCCAGCCTTGCCCCAGGGCTCCAAGTGCCCATTTAAGCTCAGCCCTGGCCTGTCAATCCTCCCTGAGCAAAGCAGGAGCTCCTGCTGGAGCCACTGCCATCCCTGAGGCTGGCCAGGAATCCTGACCTGGCCTGACTGGGGACCTGCCACACCCCCAGGGACCTGCTCCTGGCTGAACCTGGCTGTCCCCTGGGTACCTGCCCTGCTGAGCTGGGTGGTGACCCCTGCCCAGCTGGCTGCCAGACCCCTGGCTCCCAGACAGCCCTTGTCATACTGGAACCTTCTGCAAAAAGTTAATGATTGAAAAACTGGGGTTTTTGCTAGATAGAGATTATATATATATATTTAAATTAAAGAATAAAACACATTGTTTCAATGAGGTTTGAACAGCAGGCTTACAGTACACTACATGAATACAGCAGTTTCTCCACACAGTTTATTTTCAGACAAATTATAAATTATTAATATACCTTTGTGGTGGCTCTTTGGACACAAAAGACAAACAGCACATCTATCAAGAATTTTCTGATCTTGTTTTGCAGTTTGATGGGCACTGTTAACTGTACCTATTAATACTTTTGTCTAAAATGTATGTCTAGCATAAATATATATCTAGGAACTGTAATATATCTGTAATACATCTTATAGAATGACAGAATTAAACAATGGGATTGGATTGCAACACACCTAGAGTTACTCCCTTCAGTGATTCATGCTTACTTCTGGAGAGACAATATTAGACTGCTGTTGCGTTTCTAAAAGTGCATCTCATAAAGATTTGCTCATATAAACCCATGTTTTACCTCATAATTATAAAGGAAGGCTTTTGCAAAGAGGCATATAGAGAAACCATTATTTTCCTAATTGTGTTTCAGGTTCAGTGTGTACAGTAGAGAGTTGTACAAAATAACTTGGGTGATTTCTATTCCCCAGCCAGGCTGTTTCTTGCTGCCTGCCTGTGCAGCAGCTGGTGTCTAGCAGAGCAGCTCACGAGCCTCCAGCAAAGTCGACATACTAACCCACTTTCTGGGCACGAGTCTCATTCACTGCTCCGCTCTGCAGTGTGAGGTTTAAACTGTTAAAGCTGCAGAGTTTGATCACAAAGTCTAAGTATTTGGGTTTTAAATTAAGAATTATAATTAAACTTTTAAAAGGCATGTCTACAACATAGGAATTATTTGGCTTAGCACACTGATACAAATGCAACTGCTTTCAGAGCCAAGCTAAGATTGACCCTGAATACCCTTCAGCATGGAAATGATGGGGCCTGTGTGAAACTCCAGCCATAGCCCAGCACCATGTCCTTCTCTGTGATCTTCCAGGAGTTGAAGACAGCACTCAACCAAGAGTTGTGTCCTTTGGTTATGTGGATTTGTCAGAATCATGATCCAAATGAAAATGAAGCAGAGCTTGCAATAAAATGTGTAAATTCTGCAATGAAGTTCAGCTGTACCAAAGTATGAGTGTCAAAAAAGCTGGTGGTGAGCTCTTTTTGAGACTTCTCTTTATGAACTGGTTTTGTACAGCACAATGTACTGTACAGCTTCCTGCCTGATTTTACAATAAACATACTAATTTCCTTAAATTTTTTTCTGAATTCTCTCCTCACTTTTGCAGTCTGTTTGTTAAAAACTAGTTAAGAAACAGCCACTAATTCTGAGACTTTTCATAAAGTCCTTGTAAAGCTTTCAAGTTCATGGCATACTGATTCTGAATTGACACATGTTAATTCTTAGGTCTCAGGGAAATTTTGATTTCCTGAATGCTTTTTTTATACTAATTAACTCATTACTTTATTCAAACTGTTTTTCTTGATTACTACTTCAAAGCTCAGTGATAAAAAATTTGCATATCATTCTTGATCAAAGTGCAGAAAGAGTATGTATTATGAAACCCGTGTGAATTTTACCATGCAAAACATTCCATAAACAGGAGAAGTGTATCTTTCTGTAAATCTGGTTTGAGGAGAGACAAGCACAGGAGGAAGGCTAAGCTTGACTCTGAGTGGCTTTGACGTGGGCAGTAAGGGCTTAGGAAAGCAGAGGCTGTATCCAGCGTACCTGCCTGCGTCAGGGCCGGGCTGGAAGGGCTCTGAGCAGCCTGATCTAGGGGAAGGTGTCCCTGCCCATGGCACGGGGTTGGAGCAGCCTGACCTTTAAGGTCTTGTCCAACCCAAACCATTCTGTGCTTCCATGACGCAGTGATGCAGCTTCCCTTCATCTTTGCATGCTGTGTATGACATGAAGGATTTGGAGACGCAAAGCTCTGGTGTCAGGCCCCTGGGGTATGAGTAGAAGACAGAATCTCCTGGGTGGGCCCATATTTGTGCCTATTTCCTTCCAGTACTGTCAAATCCATAGCTGATTTTTTTTTAAATTCATGTACACCTGTAAGCATTTGAGCAATAATGACTACAGCTATAAAATACATAGAATTCTTCTGTACTATTTTATACTTCTCCATTTTAAGTTAGGTATAAAATGTGTTTCTGCTAGACCAGATCAAAACAGGAAACTCATCTACAGAAATCCTCAGAGATTAACCTATGTGAATCTTTCTAAAGTACACTTGAACCTGTTTCTGCACAGCAGCCCAAAGGTTATTGGCAGTGCACCAGAGAAACCCATGACTGGTGGATTTAGATAGCAGCTGCAAATCTGCACTAATCTCTGTTTACAATCTATCCTCTACTACTGTCTACAGAGAGTAAATATTAAGATGAAGATGGTTTTCATAGCAGTATATACTGAAAAAAATCAGTTTTAAATCATCTACTGGGGACAAAATATTTTACCTGGAACCTAATCTACTTCCTGTAAACTCTGACTAAAGCAGTCAACCATATAGGTAAGAGTAATTTTGGTAGATTTTCTAAACTATAATGATTTTAAGAGTGTGGTGCATTTTATCTCTCTGTTTGAGGAAATTGAAGATTATTTGAGGAATTGAGGAATTTGAAGATGTCACAGTGACTGTATGACAAATATTCCTTTCAGTCTGTTTCATCAGCCTTTCAACATGATAATTTTTTAGGTTTTTTAGATGAGTGGGAATAAACTATATTTTGAGGTCACACAAATAGTCAGTTAACTTTTGCCAGCTTTGGTTTTATGTAGGGCAGATATAATCTACCATGGAAATGCTGCACATATTTAGCATTAGCTTTTCATAAAACAATTATATAAAGGCTTGTTATTGGTAAATAATTGCTGTATGCAAGAGCCAGGAAATCCATGGCTGCAAGTGTTTTGCAGTTGGTAATAAAAGCTCCATTGTTCAGATACAGCAAGATATAACTACAATGATAAAGCAGCACTGATTAGTGATGCACTGTTATGCAGTGTTTCTGCATTGATTAAATCTGCAACGTTTTTTAAAAATTATGCTTTAGATAACACATTAAAAGGCATACTTTGGGCATCTGCAGTTTGAACATGATGCAGTGCTCAGCCCTCTCTCAGTGAGGTGCTTTGAAGAGGTCCCAGAGAGGATAAATACATACAGCAAGCAGGGAAACTTTTGCTGTTCAGGATAGGGCCCTTTTTGGCCAAAAGATTGGTAGAAAATCAGTAATAGCTACTTGTACACCATCCTTCTTTGAGTCTACGATTCAACGCCTCCCTCCCATGGGAAGAGCAGGGGATGGCTCTGCCTGGAGGGAACAGCCCCTGGAAGAGGCTTGTGGGGCAGTTTCCAAGGCCAGGGCTGCCCTAGCTCAAGGATGATGAGGGCCTAGAAGCACTTTGTGTCAGGAAATGATGGAAAATGCATGTGTCAGGAAATGAATGTGAACCAGTGTGTGCCCTGGTGGCCAAGAAGGACAATGGGACCTGGTTTACATCAGCAACAGCATGGCCATAGAGACCAGGGAAGGGATTGACCCCTATACTTGGCACTGGTGGGCCACACCTCACGGGCTGTGTCCAGCTCTGGAGCCTTCACTTCACCAGCACTGGAAGACTGGAACAGGTCCAGAGAATGGCAACAGAGCCAGGGCAGGGTCTGGAGCACAGGTCTGGGGAGGAGCAGCTGAGGGAGCTGTGGGGCTCAGCCTGGGGATAAGGGCACTCAAGGGGGACCTTCCTGCTCTCCACAAGTCCCTGTGACAGGAGGTGCAGCCAGGTGGGAGTCAGTGACCCGACAACCAGCAACAGGACAAGAAGACATGGCCTGAAGCTGGACCAGAGGAGGTTTAGGCTGGGCATTAGGAAGAATTCCTTCCCCCAAAAAATGTCATCAGACATTGGAATGGGCTGCCCAGGGAGGTGGTGGAATCACCATTCCTGGTGGTGGTAAAGGAAAAGCTAGATGTGACACTTAGCGCTATACCAAAAATCACACTAGGAAAAGCCAGTGTACATGATGGAGACAGAAGAGCCCAACAAAGGGGGAGAGTCCACTGGGGCACATCCCCATGGGATTTTGTCTCTAGAGCTTTCTGAGGGCACAGCCTCCTTTTATCCCAAACTCCTGGCCACATGTTGTCCTCTTCCTTTCCCCATCAGCTGGGGCAGTAGGAAGGTACAGCCTTTCCCAACCGGCTACCCCATATCCCATTCTCCCCCTTGAAGCTGTAATTTTACCCCAAAGTTCAGAAACTCAGGCTTGTGCATTTGTCTGTTTCAGGAGTCAAACTCTGGGTTCCGTAACAAACCTGTGGCTTGAAGTGGGTAGAAACACTAAGACATATCTCGAAGATGCTGACACCCATACCCCTGTTAGAAACAGACACCCTCACCCACGGAATGGCTCGGAAAGATGCGAGAACACATCCCCCCCATCAGTGTCACTGTCTGTTTGACGCGTTGGTGCTCGGTCACAGGTTGGACTCGATGATCACAGAGCTCTTTTCCAACATAAATGATTGTGTGCTTGAGATGGAGGCTTAGTGAGGGGGAACCAAGTGCCGCCTGCTCTGAGGGCGAGGGCCAGGAGCGGAGCCCGTCCCTGCGGGGCTGTGGGTGCTGCCGGTGCTATGGGTGCTGTCGTGGGTGCTGTGGGTGCTGTCGTGGGTGCTGTGGGTGCTGTCGTGGGTGCCGTGGGTGCTGCCACCCCTCAGCCCCCCCATTTTACCCGCGGGCCGAGGGCGGCCGCCGCGAAATGGCGCCGCCATCACGTGCCCGCCGCCCGCGGCCTCGCGCGGCGCCTGCGCTGGGGCGGCGGCGGCGGCTCCGCCCTCGGCGTGTCCCGGGCGCGGCGGGCTGAGCGCGGTGCTGGCCCCGCTCTGCTGGCCCTGCTCTGCCCCTGCTCCGCGCCTCCGCCCGGCCTCACGCTGCGAGGGAGCCGCGCACCGGCGGCGGTGAGTGGCGGCGCGGCCGCGGGGACCGGCCTGTGCGCGGCGGCCGGGGGAGGGGGGGAGGACAGGCCAGGCCGCGGGGGCAGCCCGGGGTGCGGAGACTGTCTGACAGTCTGACTGACTGACTGTCTGTCTGTCTGACTGTCTGTCTGTCTGTCTGTCTGACTGACTGTCTGACTGACGGACCGACAGTCTTAAATTCTCCCCGAGCGCCCAGCCTCGTGAGGGGCTCGCTGTGCGCTGCCCTGGGTTTGTGCCATCCCCGGAGCTCTCCCCGAGCTGCGGCAGCGCGGTGCCCGCCAGCTGAATTTCCCTAGTTAAGAGCTGCAGTGGCTTGTTAAAAGTCGGATGGGAAGGTTTCAAGATAACCTATGGAAGTGACAATTGTTTTTCATTCCTGCCGTGGGTGTGTAGGTGAACCCTCAAGAGAGCTTTTCTAAAGAGCTGTGCGGCTTCAGATGTGTCATTGAGTAAAGCGAAGGGTCTTGGGGGTTGGGCAAGGGGGGGATGGCTTCCTTCTAAAAATAATGCATCTTTAGAAACCCAATATCTGTATTTCACCACCGAAATGGTACTAAAAGGGGCAGTGCATTTCTGTTTCTTCAGTTAATATTAATGCAAGCATTAAGATATTCAGCTGAATGTGGTTATTTTTAGAACTCTGAGGGTTTGTCATAAACATACTAAAAATGTGGTAAATCCCTTGAGTCAGAGGATCAGTTTTGAGACAAATAAGGACTGATTAAAAAAACTAAATAATCCTCTTCAGAAGCAAAAACGCCACCCATTAAAAGTCTGATATGCCCTAGATGAAGAAAAAGCTTAATCTCTGAGCTCATCATCCTGAAGGACTAGATCTTCTGGGAATTAGGCTTAAAATGTGTTTTTTACCTATGTTTTGCACCATACTCAGCGGTTGAATTTGTGGTGGCAGCAGTTTTCCAGGGCTGCCTGCCCTGTGCTGCTCCTGTTCCCCAGACAGACTCTGAATTCCGAGAGCCTTAACGTGGTGAGGGGGTGGCCTCGGGTGCTGTCACTGAAATGCCATTTCTTTAAAGACACTGATTAATGGGACCAGTATTTCAGCCGCGTAAGGCAGGTCCGTAAACACTGATTTCCAGATGTTAGAAAGTTAAAGCTTAATTATAAAGATGCCTGCTTTATGCCAGAATGTTTCCAAGCTTGGTTATTTGGAAGGGTTTTTATTTTTCAAGGACTCAATTTTTGCTGCATTTATGTTTGGTTGCTACTGTTTCTGATTTTAGAAACCTGATTTTATGGTGTTCTGTTAATTCCTGTTGAGTCCCAGGTTTAAGAACTGGAAGGGAAATCTAGAAGTCAGAGGAAACAGTTACTGCTTTGTGGCTTGAATCTGTGATATGTTTGGTTAAAGTAATAAACCTTTTCTTTGAACTGATGATGTAGCCTGGGAAGTAGTGAACAGCCAGTGAAGGCTTGTTTAACAGAGCCACTGCTGACCACTTTTCAAATCCCCCACCAAGCCCCCATGCCACGGGAGAGGTTTTAATGTCTTAACTTTAGCTTAATTTAACCAGCTCTGTTGGCAAGATAAGTTGCAGGAACAGTTAATTAACTTGATTTTTTTCAGAATCCTGTTGGCTTTAGTGTATTTGAGGTAGTTTGAGCTGGATAACGTGCAGCTGTCAAAATACTGATCACAGGTAGAGTGATGGGGGGCATGCACCAATTTTTGATACTTTGCTTATACAAATGAGGATTTTAATAGATTTGGTGAACCTCAGCAGTTATCAAAGTGTTTCACTTCAATGACTGTGTTGCTGCTGTTCATCTTTGATAATCATTTGGATAACTACCTTAGATAACAATTTACTGTTGTTTGCATAACAGCAATATTTGATTGCATCTCTGATAACTGTAATATATTATTATATACATTTCTGCTTACATGAGCTAAGATTTACATTGCTTTGGATGGTACTTTTGGCCTTAGACACTCAGATGTACATTAGATATACACCTGATCATGTTTTTATTGCTAACAGTCACTTCCAGGAACTTTTTTTTTTAATGTATTATCTAAAATCTATTATCTGCTAGTTCTTACCTGCAGTGTAAAAGTATGAACTTCCTTCTCTTCTGAGGAGTCTTGGGACAGGTCTGTTCAAGAGAAGCTCTCTTCCTCAGGGGTGCTCTTGGTTATTTGGCTGGTACAGGTAACCTGTCCCATCTCTGTGAAATTCAGAAGCCTGCTGAGCATTGTAGATAATCTTTATTGACTACCTATATTTGATACAATTATTAATATAAAAGGATATTATTGTCCTTTCCTTGATTTTCAGATGTCAGTTTACTGTTAGTAATTACTTTTGCCTGTGGCCACGTGAGGAGTGTTGGGAAGAATACTGAAATCCTGAGTTCAGAGCAGGTGGAAGGGTACTCATCCCCCACCCCCAAGATGGGATATGTAAAAGCAATGTAAACAACACAAGATTATCACAGCAAAGATGTCAGGGTTTTGTTGTGTTTTTATTCATTTTTTTGTGATGTTCCTGGGGGTAAAGCTTTGAATGATTACACGTGATAGAAAACTCTGAAACACAAACTCACCTGTAATGTGATATTAAAATAATGTGGAGGGAGGCAAGAGACCTTTAATCTGAACCCCTTGCTGCAGTGCCTTGTGATGCACGTTCCCAGGTGGCCCGGGCTGTCACCTGGAGCTCATAAACAGGGAGGTGGCTGCGGGCTGGTGCTTTGTTGTTGTCGGGAGCAGCTCCTGCCGTGTGACTGCGGCCAGGCCTGGCAGGTGCTGGGAGGGCTGTGCACGTTTGTGCTGGGAGGCTGAGCCGTGTGGCCTCTGTGTTCATCACACCCTTCCCCAGGCCATTGGACAGCCTTGCCACAGAAGGGAAGCACACAGGAAAAAACATTTGGGTGGGTTTTTTTCTCTGTTTTTCATTACTCTTAGATTACTTTCATAGCTACAGTGTTGTTTACCAAGATTCACTAGTAGTGATAATGATAATGCAAATACTGAATAACTTGCTGTTTCCATTGTAATGTTGACCAAGAAATGTAAATGCAGTTGCAACATTTGTTTCCCATCACTTTTATCCTTAATCTGACCTCATGTTTCTTTCAGTGATAATATTTGCATTGTGGGATAAGCTGCCTTGTTCTGAGATGATCCCCTCAAGCTCCTTTACAAAAACAAGAATATTTATAAATTGATGTCAATGTATTTCCCCGTCATTTTTGCATTGGATATAATATGAAATCTTTTTTTTTTTTTCCAAAACTAATGCAGGTTTTTGTGGCATTTTATCTGGACAGGAGGGGAAAGCAGACAGATGCATGTGAGTGCCCCATGGCTGCAGCTGCCTCAGTTCACTCATTTATTGCCTATTGTAACTTGGAAGAATTCTTTAGGTAAGAAAGTTGCTTCAAAATAGTGGTTTTTAAACTTAATGCACTTCTCTGTTGAATCTTTAAATTGCATCTCAGTGTTTTGTGCTCTCAGTTATAATGTTATTTAAGCATGCTGTTTATGTGTGGCATTATAAACCTTTTATTTGTTAGACAGTGACAGTACTTATGAAAATGAATTCTACATGCTGTGCAGATTCTGCTCACTTCACAGGAGAGAGAACACGTGATACTTGTAGACTGTGCAATACAATGCCACCATAAATGACAGATTTCTTCAGGTGCCACCCACAGAGTTACTGATGAATATCAGCTTTCTCTTTATAGACAAGCATGACTACCCAGCTCTAAATTTTCTGGTGTGTGAACTGAGCAGCAGCATTACTTGCACAGATTGCAGTACTTGAGTTTGATTTTGTGTGGAAGATGGGGGCTGCTTCTCATGTATTCATAAGTAATGTATACTACACCTTTGTTAAGCTTGGAGCAGTAAAGCTGATACTAATTGGGTAGTTTTTGTAAAGATGATAGGACCTGGGAGAATCTAAAGTCTTGTCTCATTTTTAAAGAAAAATAGAGAAGTTCAGCATTGGAAGGTTTCTAAAGATGATATTACTGGTTGAACACAATACCTGGTAAATACCTTCTGTTTCTAAAAGCTGTCACGATTTAGTGAGGTGGAGGTTACTGTTCTTGTAGCATTCCATTAAAGCATCTTCAGATAATGTAAAATTGATAACTGGATATATGGGAGGTTTGGGTCTGTTTTCTTGTAGTGCACCAAAATACTCTGTCATACTAAGACACAGGATAGTTTTTTCATTAGTATGTGTGAGGATATTTGTACATTATTAATATATTTTTTTCCAGATACAGTGTAATTAGCCACAATTGTTTGTTTACTGTCAAGATTATCATGGTGCAATAAGCATACTTTTGGAGTAAAAGTGAGTAAAGTTGAAAGTCAAGAGTCTTTAAATGTCAAAGTATCAGAGGTCCTGTCTTTTAAGTATAACTTTTGACTCACATGGTTTTGGTAGAGAGTAGGCTGAAAAAAACCCCATTTGTTATCAAGGTTTGTTTTTTGGGTAATACTGAAGAATTCAGGGGTGTATCTGTGTTGCAAGAGTGCTTATGTGACTAAAACTGTAGATAATGCAAAAGCTATTTTTTGCCAACAATTGCACCTTCCCCTTAGTTAAATGGTATTTTTCAGATAATATTTGATAAAACGAATGTGTTGCATTCTGTTGCTCTGCTTCCACATCTGCCCTCAGAGCAATGGGTTCTGTTTGTCTCAGTCTTTGTTCCAGAATTGATGTTAGTCCTGTCTGTGGGCTTCCCAGACACTGCAGAACAGTTTTTCTTTGATTGGTGGCTTCACAGGTCGGTTCATCTTCTGGGACCCATCCCTGCCTTCTGGTTAAGGAATCCATGCACACATACAGGATGACTCAACAGTGGGATGGATGTTCAGATACCAGAAAGGTTCTGGTAACTTGACAGGAACCTCCACATTCTTTGGAGGTAGGGTTGTGTGTGTGTGTGTGTAAACCTCTCATTTGAATGCTGCCTGGGTTATATCACATGGGACTGTCATTTAGCCAACTTCAGTTGTGCTTTAAAATATATACTGTTCATAAGGATTCAGAATGAAATAAGAATTCTTATTTTTGCAGTAAATACTGGGGCTTCATGTTAGTTAAAAA